TCGGTTCGCACGGTTCGGTTCGGTTATTTATTTTCGGTTGTTGCGGTTCCGGTTCGTGCGGTTCCGGTTCATTCGGTTCGCCGGTGCGGTTCATGGCCTTCATGTAAATTCCCTTTTTCCACATTAACCCCAATAAGAAAAGCTTGCAACTTAGGCTGGTCGAGCTATTGCGAGAGGACTCCACCAAGAAGCCGGCCAAAGCAGTGTTGGGAAGCCTTGCAGGTGAGTTCGAGGCAGGTTGCTATTCCCAAAGCAGACGGATAGTCTCAACATAAGGTATCCTCATTATGGATAGCTCGGCAAACAAACCCTATACTTACCCCTAAACCCTATGTAACCCACTAGAGTAGTTTCCATTTTCCTTTCCAGTATCCCTATAAAACAGCTATACATTTGGATTCCTTTCCAGTACTCCCAGCCCGCCACCCGGGAACGATGCTAGCAAGCGTGCTGGAGCGTGAATTTTGAGGCATCAGCCATCCCAGCTATGCCTTGGGCGATCGCCCCACTCACTGGTATTGACTACACGGGATACAGATAATGGTTTTAGGGCCCCTGATACATTGCTATATGTCACTTAAACGCCATACATCCCTAATGTGCCTGTATACCTCTATAGCCCCCCTTAAGTAGATAGAGTATGGCTTTGGGTATATTGTAATATGATCCCCATATACCCCATATTCTCTCTACTTAATTGGGACTGTAGCAGTTGGTGGGCCCCAAAATAACCCTATTATAACCCCAATTTATCCACAATATCTAATAAACCCCGATATAACCCTAATATGTCACCATCTAGGCTATGCCATCTGCCAGGCCAACAAGAGAGCTATCCAAGAAGCTGCTTCAGCAGCCAAGATCGACCTGCTAGCCGCAGGTGGGAGTTTCTCAAAAAAAAAGGGAATCCCAATATAGAACCCAAAATACTACAGTCCTTGTTATGGGGACCCCCAAAAAGGCACCCATCATTTTTCAAAATAGCGCCACATATTGTGCAAGAACTCGGGATCCTTTTGGGGCACCCCAAAAATGAGGACTTGGGCCCTCATGTATGGAAACTCCCATGTACATGTATTTTCGGGAACCCCCCCATGGTTCAGTTAAAATCATATCTTAAAGCTGCCCCGAGGTCTGAAGCTTTGACTGTGCAGATGCTGCCGACCTGATTTTGTTGGGTTTAGGGTTTAGGGTTTAGAGACCCCGTAAATAGTCAGAGATATGAGGCTGCTAGCCCCAGTGCATGGCGCATCCGTTTTAGGGTCCTCACGCAAGGCACCTTTGAACTCAAGAAGCCTAAGCCTTAAACCCCAATATATACATAAATA